TGGGTGCAGAGAAACAATTCATAAAGTGGGTGTCGCAATTGTTGATATTGGGTCTTGGACTGACCATACTCCGGCGTACACTAGCGGCGGTTCTAATACGCTCTTCAAAACCGTCAATTTGATACGAGTATCGAGGTGCCGGTTTGCGAGTATTGGGTGCAGCCTCCCTGCTCGTGCTTTGCCCTTTTCCGCTTCCTTGGACATGTGTGCATTCCACGAGCAGTGTTTTGCGATCTCTACTCCGAGGTATGTGTGTACTGGTCCACTACTGTAAGCTCCTCGACCCTCCACTTCCATCTATGTTCTATTATATAATAGTGGTTCCTCCCTGTCCTCGTTGCATTCCATGACGGCACTCTTCTTAACGTTGGCAGGCAATCTCCACTTATCAGCAACTCCTTCGCCGCGTCAATTTGCATTTGCAGTCCCTCAGGGGTGTCAGACACCCAAACAAACCGCAAGCAGCGTTCCCGACACCGTGCGTTCCCCTACCTACCTCCACACTCCCTTCTCGACTGCCTCTACGACTTTCAACAGCTTGTTGATGAACACCTCGAACAATTTTTGTGACAAAGTGCAACATTGTGGGACCCCCTGTTCAACGTTGAAGAACTCAGACGGTTCTCCGTCCAGCATGACTGCGCTTTCGTGCACTGTGTCATCTTCTTAAGCACTCTCCACATTTTCTCCTTGATCCCGAACTCGGACAATTGTTTCCACAACCCATTTCTCCATGCTGTATTGTATGCCTTTTGCACGTCCAGGAAGAAGCAGTACGTCGGCTTCCCCTCCCTCTTAGTGCCTTGGATGATTCTCCCTAGCGTGAATGCGTGGTCTACTCACCCCCTCTTCTTTCGGAAACCTGCCTGGCCCTCACTTATCATACGTTCCTTCTCCAATGCTCCTACTATCCTATGATATAGCAGCTTACAGAACACTTTTTCTACTATGTTCAACAGTGTGATCCTCCTGTACTTTCCTGGATCAGTCTTGTCCCCTTTCTTCAACAAGTTCACAACCACCCCTTCCCTCCATCTTCTTGGCGCATACTCGTTTTTCCACACCCCCTTGTATAGCAGTACCATCAGCTGGATCATCCCCTACCCACCAAACTTCATGAACTCGTTACTATCCTATCCGCCTTTGCTGCTTTGTGGCACTGCAGCAGCTTGTTCACACAAGTCCCCACCTCGTCGTCAGTGAACTCCTTCTCTAGTTCTACGTTCCCAACGTCTGCCTTCGATGTTTCTTCTTTTTCCTTGGCCCCCTTCACAAACACTTGGTATAAAGCCTCATTCTCCGACGGCGCTCCAAGTCTGTTGTAGTGTCCTGCTAAAACTTCCCTTATCCCCTTCCTGCTGCTGACTAGTCCACCATTCACACCTCGCAAAGTCGCTACCCGTGTATCCCCCCACTGCGTGTTCTTTTTTACCATCCCACTAATCCCTCGCCACAGCTGCTTGGCGTTCCCCTCCAGGCCTCCGTTGACGTTCTGCACTACTTCGTCCCAAATGCACTTTTTCTTCTTTTTCGCTATTTATAGCCCCTTCACCTGTTTTCTCTTGGCCCTGTACGTTTCTTAACTCCCCTCAGACCCCTCACTCAGAAACTGCTTGAAGACTTCTCCACGTTCCCCTATATCTTCTTTCAGCTCGTCATCCCACCACTTGACCGATACCCCACATGATACCACCTTCTTTCCCACTACTATCTCTGCCGTTCGTTGCGTTCGCGATGGACTCCCACCCTTCAATCATTGTGTCCCCTGCTGCTTGTATGTCTACACTAGGGTATGGGCGGCCGCCCGCCGATGAGGCGGGACGGCCATCTGGAAGAAAAATCTTTGTTGTTGTTTGATTAGCCGTGGATTGGCTTAGACGGACACGGCGGCTCGAATTAAGCGGAGATGGTCGCAGTTTTCATGTAATTTGATCCGGAGCAATTACTATGTATAGTCGTCATGGGTTGAGTGGGCCTTAGAACCACCAGGAGAAACCGGAAGGCATCAGCCCACCGTTGCAGAATTGGCAGCACACGATGGGGAATCTACCACGCCGAGGAAAGCCCAGCACAAACTGGGCAAGGCGGTTAACAAGATACAACATGAAAAGTTCATGGAGTCTCTGGAGCACCACCCTCAGGAGGCGGTACCACCCACGAGGGACAACCCCTACGGAGGTCAAGAGGCCAGGAACATGGCATACGCACGAACGAAAAGCTCGCAAGGGCAAGGGGGACACGCGTTCCTGAGAGCGGCTCCCACCGACCGAGCTCGAGAGATTCCATCGAACGAATTCGTCTACGCGACGAGACGCGCCTTCGGAGTTAAAGAATTCTTGGCGGAAAGATGTCCCAGGTGCCACAGAGGCAGGGAAGGCGAGATCATCACAACGGTGCACGCAAGGACCTGTCCAAGGGATGGAGCACAGGTCAACATGAACGAGCCGTTAAAATACGCACTATCGAGAGCACTCAACGGCCTTCGCGTAAAACACGACGTTGAAAGCGGGGCACCGTTCACGGGGGAAAGAAACCTGAGCATGGACATCAGGCCAGGAGCCCCACGAACGCATCTTCTCCCGGGTACCGCAACAAAGGAATACTCCTCGATGTCACACACGCAGACCCGCAAGCACAGGTACACTTGCGGAACGGCAGCGCGACCAGCGATGGAATCGCAGCCCAAGCATCCGAGGCGCGAAAGCGTCAGCACTACGCTCGTCCGGGACACGTGTCCTTTGACGAACGCAGCTTTAAACTTACCACCTTAGCCGTGGAAAGCTTTGGCCGCCTTGGAGAGGAGGGTTACGAGTTCATCGATGAACTTGCGACACATGCCGTGGGAGGAAGGGACGGAGGAACGATGGATCTGTCTTCAAGGAACGACTTCTTCAGATCGTTTCGGTGGCTACACAGGTGGCCATATCTCGGCGAGTGCAGAGGTACAAGCTCGCATTGCGCGGGCGTCAAGACGCCGAAAACAGGCGAACAAGATCGACCTCGAACCAGTCAACGCCAATGATATGGGGATGGAGTGTAGACGCATCGTAGAACGCGTTTTCGTTTGAAGTTAGCGTCTTGTTTGAGAGTAGATGTGACAGATTTGCGTAGAATAGTGTATGATGTTATCATGAACGGAGAAGAAAGGGCGTTTCCAACACGGAGATGTAGCATGGATCAAAGCATTTGTTGGATTTCAGCTTTTACAAGAGGACATGAACGCAGTAGTATTTTAGCAAGCTTACGAACGCATGTAGGATACCATGAGGATTGTCATTGGTTTTATTTCAAATTGAAGAGAAGATATTTTTGTCAGGAAAATCGTGCGTGGAGACCACCAGTAGTCGGACACGGTTTGACCTTTGAATACGATTGCAGCAACTAGTCTGCGTAGCAGTAGAAAATAATCCATCTCTCCTTGGCATGTATTCTCTTGTTCTAGAAATATTTCGGAAGCATGCTAGGTCAATGTTGACCGGGACATCTACGTCGACCGTGTGTAGCTTCTGGAAGCCTTCTGGAAACTTCTGGTTCCTTCTGTAAGCTTCTGAAAGCTTTTCTGGAAACTTCTGGTTCCTTCTGTAAGCTTCTGGAAGCGTTCTAGATCTAGGTTGTAGTTGATACTCTTCTAGAACGTAGGAGGGCTTCCAGAAATCATTCTGGAAGCATTCTGGATCTTTCGTGTGATTGGCTTATTTGTCCGGTATTCGAGAAGAGTGGTGCAGCCCTAAGCTCGCCCACTCCTCTCACTCCTCTTCAGTACCAGCAACATCTGACTCGGGAGTCAGCAACTAATAAAAGCATCTTCATATTTCCATTCCAAGTCTCTCGCGGTTGGAGACGCACAGAGTGTGAACCTCTGAGGTAGGCTACACAGCCTCCTGGCATCTGCAGCATCGTACTGCTGCTAGTGCACAGCGAAATATCTCTGACAGGTTATGAGCCTCGGCTAACGCACACACTACGAGCTGCGAACAGCACGGGAAGATCAAGGCAACCTCTTCTCGGGACATCAACCTTCATCCGTGGACAACATAGAACTTGGTTTCGGAGATCTGGAGATGGCGACGCCGTCATCGGTCAACGGCAACACAAGCAGACGCGCAAACTTGGTCATCTACACCAAGGTGCTGAGGGTTCACGTCGTATACACACGTTACCACCCCTG